AAAAAAAGTTTAAGAAACCCTGGCTTAAATCATGCACTGTTGTCATACTCGGTATACCGTTTATTTCGTCCTCTTTATTAGGTCAAAAACTAATGTTCTCTTTTTGAAATTGCGTTTCTAAGATTGGCAATTTATGATGGATATGGCGATATTAAGATGAATTTGCCTACAATACCCCGTGCGATTTCAAGTTAATTTTTTTTAACAAAGTAAAAATGGTACTATGGTACCTTTAAGATAAGGATGTATTTTTTCATTTTGGGGACTTCTCAATATCCTACTTCTGAAATTTAAATTTTTCATTTTTTTCATAATGAGTATGTTTTTCAAGTAACACTTGCAAATATGCATAATTTTTTCTCTGTAAAATTCGCTTTGTGCTTTCTTCTGATTTTTTTTCAAAATAGTTAATTTCAAAATAGTTTTTTCAAAATACTGTTAAAATGCTTGTTTTACTGTTAGAATAGCTACGAGGTAAGCACTTGTCATGCATAAAATTTTTTTCACATTTATTTATGATAAATACAAGTTCTTGAGAACAATCACTCCTTCTCCTTTCATTTCTGGCATCAGCATTCGTGTATATGCTCATGCGCATGCGTGATTATGCTCATGGACGCAGTCGGAGGAGGTTAAATTACACAGTCTCTCTTCTCATTAATTACATAGTTTCATCTGTAGATTTTTTTCTGTATCATTAACAACAGTAAATATCCGCAAATTTATTTAAAATTTATCAAAAGTAAAGAACAAAACTTCGCAGAATGGGGGGTGGCGAGCAAGGCGCTTACGCTATGTAAAAAATGAAAAGAAATCAAGAATTGAAGTATAGCCGATAAAATATAAATGTGAAAAGGATAAAAACTGCGTTTAACATTGCAGTTTTGACATTTTCCCTAGATGTTAAAATCCATAAACACGACTGTGCTGAAGAATATTAAAACTTTAGCATATCATTAATAATGAATAATTTTCATTCAAAGCAAAGTATGTATACATAATTATTTTACCTTATTTCATGTTGTTCAACTTAATTTTAAATGCCCTTATTTCGCTTTTATTTCAGTAAGGTATTTCTATGAATCTTGTTTTATATCTACATGAATTTTATCTGTCATAGACATCATTATTTTTAAGGATACCTCCATCCATGAACCTTTTTACCTTTTACATTTTTACCTTTTACATTTTTACCTCTTTTTTACTTTTACAAACATTCATAAATATTTCAGTTGCACATTCATTTAGTTAGAAACTTTCTTGAAATATTTTTTTAATGATAATCGACTTCCCCAAAGTTTTTTTTTCTAGGCTCTAAAACTTATTTTAAGCTGCCTAGCTTTCTTTAAATTTCATCTCATCAACCGTCTTTTATTAACTTCTATTCATTGCGTAAAATCAGTATATTTTTTAAAGAAGACGCAATCGTTAATATAATTTTTCATGTGTAAAAGGAAACAATTTTTAGCTAAATGTTTTAAGTAATCTTCCATCAAACTAAATGCTCGTTTATGATGGCATTGTAGATTCATGATTTCTGTATGCATTACTTAGGAAAAGTGTATAAATACTTCATATCCTTTTCCTACGTAATGCATACAAAAGAATGAACAAGGTAATTAGAAGTGAATGCATTCAACCGTTTCACAAGAAGAATGATCGATGAGTTACTCTTGTGTCTCGTTCTTCCGATAAAATAATTATGCATTTGTTGTAACAAATCCAAAGTATGTATATTAGTTTCAAATATGAAGCTGCAAAGATTTTTGTTATTTGAAGTCCGAATTTATATAATTTTCATTTAAATTTAAAAAATAAACATGAACAACGCATTTGAAAATCTATAAATTGAGCTAATTAATTTGAAATTTGATACAAATCTTATAAGATTTGAAGATACAAAATTAATAACTTTATAAGATATTTTCTCCCTCCTTTCTGCATGCATTGGTGTAACGGCAGTACACTTCGCGCGTATTCGAGAGGTCCAAGGTTCGAGTTCTGGCAAGGGCATTTTTCATGTCTTCTGCTTCGAAATAACCTAATGACTTTCCAATGGCACCCGAACTAAAAGACGGTGGATGATGATTCTTCACCAGCAGAATTTGACTACTGGGTCCTCTAATCTCCAGTCGCCCTTTAAAAGTGAGAGTATATAAGCTATTTTCTCCCTCCTTTCTGCATGCTTTTGTGATGTAACGGTAGCACACTCAGCCCGCATTCGAGAGGTTCAGGTTCAAGTCCCGGCGAGGACAATGCTCATTTTTCACGTGTCCCGCAATAAAAAAATCCTAATGACTTTACGACTTTTATTCGTACTTTTTCAAAACTTAAATGAATTCTTGCACTCGAAGTAATTATTTTGTTTGGGAATAGATTTATATGATAACGGCTTTTTTTTTCAAGTAAAATTAACAAGGAAAGACAAGATTGATCGATCAGTATCTACAATTCGTGATGAAGATACTTTTTATTAATTTAAATTCTTACTAAAAATGTTTTCATTCGTAGTTTTAAATTGAATTTGTGTTCCTTGGAGATGGTAATATGGAAAGTTTTCTAATTATAAATTATTAAGAATATATATATATATATATATATATCTTGCAGAATGTTTTAAGCTTTTCAAAGCAGGAATCATAAAAAATCAGCCAAACGCCCAACCTTCCGATGATACCCAGACTACACCATGAAAGTACACTGTAGAAAAGGAGAAAATTCCTATCATTCACCTCCACTGAAAGGATAACTGGGAAGGAGGGTACCGAGTTATATAACCCAGGTACAGACGAATTATTATACATCACATTTTAGGTCGGCACTATTGTGCAGCGTATTTGAATTTTTAAAGCCGGAAATCAAAAGGAAGCGAGTATATCCTCGAACTCGGAATTTTTGGATCGTTAGCAATTGCACTACGAAGGGAAGCCATAAGGAAGGGGAAAATTCCTTATAACCTTACATAATGTTTATTGAATTTTATTCTGCAGTCATTTCAACAACAGCATAATAATTTTGTTTTAACAACATACATAATGAAAGTAGAAAAACTGCGGAATTCTTATCATGCTCGTAAACTGGAATTTTAGTTTAGAATTATAGTTATATTATTAGAATACCTAGAATACCTAGAATTATATCTAGAATTATAGTTAACGAACACAGAAAAGATCTTTAAGTAGAGTTCCCAGATTCTTAGCAAAAAACCGCTTTGACAGGTCTCTACTGTCTCAAACAAGAGAATTCGTGGCGTTGAGAGAATATCTTTTATTTTTCTTTCTATTCTTCTGAAGGTGAACGAATAGCTGTCGGCACTGTTGGGTTCTGGGTAATGTAGTGGCAAGACAGCCTAGTTAATAATTTTATTAGGAGACTTTCTGTCTCCGTGCCTGGTACAACTATGTCTACTTGGCTGTGTTTATTCCCTCTCTTGCTTGTAACTTCTACTCTGAGAGATGCTTTTTTTACTGTTTTCGCTTCTAGGTTTCTGCAAAGCTCACGATTTGTACGTGAAAAAGGAAAAAGAAACAAAAAATGGGAAGAAAAGGAAAATGGATATAGGTTAGATGCGAAGAAAAGGTGGATAATAGTGTAATTTGGGTAAAATTAAGAAATCTATTGAAATATGATTATATACTCAAAAGTTATTTTGTAATTATTTATGAATTTAGATATTAATATACATTGAGTAATCATGTTAACATACCGTGATCCAAGTTTTCACTAGTGGTATCTCGCATAACGAATTCAGTCCGTTCTAAAACAGCATTCTTGGATACCATCTGCACATTATAAATACATGAGGCGATAATTTAAATATATATGTCGTCCAGGTTTAATGTTTTAAATAATTATCCCTTTACAAGTTCTAGTTGAAACGCTCAGCAAAGGTGATTAATTCATTTTAGTTCATTCTTTATGTTAAATGTTTACACCCCTGTTTAAATATTTTTGCTTTCCTAACAAAATTTTGTTTTCCAACTTAGGTTAAAAACATTTTCACTTTTAAAATAACGACGCCCTAAATAGGCCCTACAAATTTTTCTTCGAATAGAATAAACAATTAAAAAAACATTTCTTTTTGAACCCAAACTTTTATAATATCCCGTATTATTATAATATGATGTATATTAGAATAACGTATATTTAACGTATTAATAACGTATATTACTAACGTGTAATACTAACGTATAAATAACGAATATTTAACGCATTAGTAACGTATATTACTAACATGTAATACTAACGTATTAATAACGTATATTTAACGTATTACTACATTAACGTATATTTACCGTATTACTTAACTGTATGTTAACATATTTTTTAAACGTAGGTATAAGTATTACTACACGTTTTATTTAAACGTATATAGAAGCTGTTCGCATATTTTTAAATGATTTTCCTTGTATTTACAGAAATATTTCACCTAAATGTTTTGTGTTTTAAATGTTCACATTCTTCACTATCTTTCTAAGTAGTAAAATTGAAAAACAATAGAGCCTTTTTTAGTGTCGGAATGGGTATTTTATCCCCTTCTTCTTGAACAGCTTTCCAAGCTCAAAGGAGGTTTGTAGGTGGACGTTTGGACAATTCGCTTTTTATTTGTTGTTCCATTTTTTTCAGGAAATTAATAGTGAATTTTGATGTGTGTTTGCTTGCTTTCTTTTGATGCAGTTCTACTGATCTACTACTACTTTGGCTAAAGAGAAGGCATTTGATATATAAAAACTGTGTTCCTAGCTGAACCAGTTTCACTGGAAACGATGTCCCGGCTAGCTACGCGGAAGAAAAAGTATTAATGAAGTTGTAAATTTAAGTCCCTATTTTTTTACCAAGCCTCAACTGAAAAAGTTTCTTTGAAGTTTCGCTAAATTAAGTTATTGTGGAACCAGTGGGTGGTAATGAAATTTTACTAACTGCAAAACGGGTGGAAGATATAAAAAGGCTGACCATCTCTGAGGAGAATAATAGTATGAATTCATCAATAAATGCTTCATTCTTAAACATTAGTGTCATGGATATGTTTTATATATAATATGGCCCAGGTCACTTTATTCTGCTGCATCATACAAAACCTGCTGCTTCATACAAAAAGACGGTGAAGCGAATTTGAATAACTTATGTTTCCGAATAATCTATTGAGAAGATTTTTTGTAGCTTGAAGGTATAGTTAAATACACATGATAAGGTTAAACAAAAGTATGAATTGCAGTGTTTGTATTACATATGAATGCCGGCTATAAATCCATGTTTTTTTGTGCGGAATGTAAGGCAATTTAAAACAGCATTACAGTTTCTTTATTTGTATACATAGGATTATAAAATATTTTAAGGATATAATATTAAATAAAATACATTAAACTATATCATGTATACGAACGAATACAATGGAATATCATTTATACTATGGTAGGGTATTTCAAAAGCTCCCATTTTCTATTCTGTTTCAGTGTTGCAGATTTATGTTTATATGTTTACATACATTTTGATAAAACCAGGTTCAGGTTAAGTGGAGATTTACTGTTAAGTCTACCCTCAACAATGTGGATTTTTTGAATGTGAATTTATTGCTGTTTCAGAAACAACGTCTCATACGTAATTCAGTCTCAAACCTTTTATGTTCATGAATAACTCAGTACGTGGCTTTCTTTATCCAGTTATATTTCCTTAATGTTTTCTTTCTGTTCCCCGGATGTAGATCTCTTCCGGCCACTATGCGCAGTCTGGCGAGTATGATGAAGCTGGGGAAGCAGAGGCCGCCACCGGAAGAGGACGAACGGAAATCTCTTAAGGACTCCGACCAGCTGGAGTACGGTACGTTCTTTACTTCCTCAAAAAGAAACAGAAAGTGGGATAAACATTTTGTGCCCCACATTCACAAATATCTTTATCACACAACACGCATCAAGAGAATCCCAATTTCCGAAACATTTTCAACTAGTAAATATTTCCTACTTTAAAAGGAAGCAAGTGTGAAATGCGAATATTCTCCCAAAAGGGACGTTACTCCCGAATGGGAAATTAGTTACGAAACGGCATTTTACACTTAAATGCAACGTCAAGTATATTAAAAGCACTTAATCACTTGAACCATTTAAATGCAACGAATCACTTTTCAAACTGTTGCCACCAAATATTATCACCCTGTATTATATTTAAAGGAATTAAATAACGAAGGATGCACACGAATGTATACATGTCTCTGGCATTGTGAAAAAACAACTGTGCCTAGATTCATCAAATTTTGAATAACATAGTCTTCCATCCGAACATGGGTGCCTGGAAGCCGGAATTCCTAATTTGTTTATTATCTCTTTCATATTTTTTAGAACTTTGGCGAATTTTTGATTAACAAACTCAACTATTTCAAAGTGAGTAGTGCTAACACTGTACGGAATAAAACATTTCTATCTCCAGCGTATGAGATATGCTTATCGGAAATTCTAAAGATATACTGTTTTTTAAATATTTGTTATTTTGCTGTTGAATCGAATTTCGTGTAGCGTAAGCGCCAAGAATATGATATTTATTAAATAAAATATACGAAACGTTAATAATAAAAATCTGATGTGTATACCACATGACTTTCTTGCACGGAATATTAAATTATACGCATTTTTTCTTGCATTTCATTTAAACTTATTGGTTTGAATTAAATCTACATCCTCGATAGCGCATAAACCACAATAGAATAAACGCACTTTTTAAAATTGCTATATTTGTTTACCATAGCGACACTCTGGCGCTAGGTTCACTTAACAGCGTTACTTTTCATCCATATTATAACTCTTATGACTTGACTTACGACTTATTTTTTTCTGGTCATTAAGTACTAAAGAGTTTTCTCCAGTAGATAGCATTAAAGTGCACTAGGCAAAGATATTTGAAACAAAATGGTACTAGGGAAGTACCAACACCCGTGGACAAAGAAAATTCAGCTGCGTGAGCAGACATATCTTAATAGTTAAGACACAATAACACACGAATAAATACGACTTCAGAAGACAAACAACAAAAATCAGCGTTATATTTACAAAATTTTCACAGGACTAGTTTCGATGGTTTTACCGAACCAACATCCTCAGCTGCAAAACCGCAAATGAACAAGATAGGAAAAAATGTTTAGATAAGATAAGAAAGCCTGGACAAGATTAAGCAAGTGGTGCTATATCTTAATAGTAGTAAAAGTAGGCGTTCATTATAAAAATTATGCAGTGATAAGCAATGGCATTAAATTGAAGCATGCAGGCAGGTGCAGTGAGTTATATGGCAAATGCAGATGGTGAGTGCAATATAGCTAGTAAGAGTGCAGGATAAGCAGTAGTGAGACATCATGAAAATGGCGCGAAGACAGTTTGAAGCTGTGAATGGCATAAGAGTTCAAAGTCCTTCAGAAGTATGCAGTAGGTACATAGGCCGTCAAAAGTTCGTAGAATCATACGATAAAGTAAAAATTCATACAAAATAATTAAAAAATGAAATAGTAACATAAAAATCTTGAATAAAAAAAGCTTCTTGATTAACATAAGATGCAGCACAAATAATAGGATAGAGTCAATTTCAGAGTTCAAGTAAATTTTAAAATTAAAATTTACAAGTTACCACCATGACGATTTGTGATAAATTGTCCAATTGGCGTTTTACAGTGTATTCAATGGTTGGATCATAATCCAACATTTGTTTAATTGCGTTATACTGACTATGCTTCATCTTCTCGAAGAAGTTGTGAGCTGTCATGAGTATAAAGTTATGCACAGACGGAATATCCAGGTCGTTATGAATTATAGAGTTTCTCACGTACCAAGGTGCATTCACAATGCTACGTAAAATTTTATTTTGAAGTATATCCAGTTTTTTGCGCTCAGTTTTATTGGCGATTGCCCAGGCCGGCACTGCATATAGCATGATCGGTCGAATTAGAGACATGTAAAGCATTTTTTTTTTATTTTTAGACTGAGCTTTGATTTTTCCCGATAATAGGATAAATTGCTATGTAGGCTGCATTTGCTTTGTTTAAGATGTAAGAAATATGATCTTTGAAGTTGAGGGACTTATCTATGTAAACACCTAAATATTTATAGGAATTAGCTACAGGGATTAGAGTTCTATCTAAGTAGATATCAGTATTGACTCTTAATCTTGTTTTGTATCTCTGATAGAGCACAATACAACATTTAGAGGCGTTGAGCTTAATTTTTTAAGTCTTGCACCAGTGACTGATCATATTGAGATGCGTTTGTAAATTACTTAGAGCGAGCTGGGGACTTCTGGATTCAGTCAGTACTACAGTGTCGTCAGAGTATTTGAGTACTTTCGTGTTGAATGGGTGCGGGAAATCATTGATATAAACATTATAGAGCCGGGGGGGAAAGAACGCACCCTTGCGGGACCCCGCTATGAATTGTTTTCTGACAAATAAGGCGTCACCGCAGCGAACTTGAAAAAGTCCTGTTTTTCAGATAGGAACTAATGAGTTTTACGAAACTGTTTGGAAGTATAAAATTATTCAATTTATGCAGGAGGCCTGCATGCCACACTCTATCAAAGGCCTTTTCGAAGTCGAGATAGCATGCATATTATAACTCAGAATGCATATGAATTTATATTACTTGAAGAATTATCTAATCGTTGCCAGATGTTCTATTCAAATACTAAACGATCTATCTTAAATCTAAAACGATGTATAAAAGATATTAAACAAACAAAACCAAAAAGAAACAGTTTTTCACAGACGACTCAGTATTTCTCATTTAATTAATTCAGTTCTCTCTTCCCAACAAGGCAAAAATACATAAAATCTCAAAATATCTATATTAAAAATTACAAAGTAAATTCTAAACACGTATTTCCTCAAAAAGATTCCAGAAAGGAAAAAATAAGCATGATTTCATTCGCAATAATAAATGAAGGCGTTATCTTTCTTGTTGCGAAGCTTAGTCTCTCTAGATTGGCAACAAATCTTCTATTCTGCTCTTTCAAATGTAAACAAATATGAACCCTATGTTCTTTAAATAGTTAGGCTTAAACGGCACTTAAACAGCTTTTACATTGTTGATAATTGTACAAATATTGCTTGCAGATTTACTAAAGGACATAAAAACCTTAACCGGAAAATAAGAACAACATAATTCAATCCTTTTTAAAGCAAAAAATGCACAATTTACAAACGTATAAGAGTAAAAAAACTGAGATCACTGAGCCAGGTAACAGAGTGGATATATTTATAAATATATATATATATACGTTTGGTGCGGCCGTTTGCAACCAAAATACGAAATGCACATCTAAATTTTGTAGCAGTCCTATACAAAATTTCAACATTCTGAGGCTACTCGTTTTTGAGTATGCGAGATACGTACGTACATACGTACGTCACGAAAAATTCTCTTCAGAATTCATTTTAAAGCAGTTTTATAATTTTTTTTGAGGAAAAGAGTCTTTTATTTTGTCCTTACCTGCAGATGTCACGCAAAATCACTGTTAAATTGCATTCGATAGCGTTCAAAATGGATATTTTCGTTGAAATATGCTGCCTGAAACTTTTTGCGATTACAATACTTCTTTGTACGAAGTAAAAACTCAGAATTGATATGATAAACTAAGACTGAAAAAAAAAACAGAAAAATTAATGCCAACACTTAAGCTGCCTCGGGTATTCTAAATGTAAATTTCTATGCTACTTCTAAAATTTTTGTAATTCTGCTGTTGAATTGTATACGGCATAAGAGCGAAGAAAATTATACTTACTAATAAAGCTAAAAATACAAAAAAAATGGGTTAGTAGAAGTGAGTGTAACAGCGGACTAGTAGACTGCAAGCTCGGCGAGAAGGTGAAAAACTTTAACAAACCATTTTGGGTAGTCGTTAAAATTTGAAACCTTTCATATTTAAAAATTTTTTTTTATTTCCTTAATGCAGTAGAACCTCGCAATAAGCAACAAATCCCCGGATATAACAGTCAGATATTTTAGTCCCGTCCAGTTTTTCTGTAGACTTAACGTTGTTTTATGCTGCTATAGCGAACTTCGTTGGGTCTGAAAATCGGATATGAGGAACTGAATTGATGTCTTCGATGGAAAAATTTTTGCATTTTCATATTTTTTCCAGAATTCTGCAAGTTTTCACGAAAACAATTAGTGACTTTTAATATTGCACCTTTATGATTTTAAAATCCATGTTCTAACCGTAAAAATATACTTCATTATTTGAGGTTTGCGATCAGTTAATCTCTCATTATGTGCATTAAAGTTCATTTCAAACCGATGCTTCCTTCAGAGTGCATGGAAATCTTCAATTGAAATTTTTTGGATTTTATTCAGAATTTCTTTGAGTTTAAAAGAAAGCTTTACTAACTTCAATATTTCATTTTTAGGATGACAGGATACATATTACATATTCCATCTGTAAAAATAACATTTACATATTGATTTTCTTTTATGATCAAGCCCTCGTTTCTCTGTGCTGCGAACAATAACTATGAGAAACAAGTGTGACACCCAGTCTAGGAGAAGAAGGACACAATAAGCAAATCTTAACACACAATAAGGCATTCTTTCTACATTGTGTGTGTTATCATTAAACCAAAGAACTTAAATGGGTTCTTAGATTCCATTCAAATTGTTTGAGTAAGTTGTCAGACAGAACTCTGTTCAAGGCTGATATTCCAATAGAAATTTTCGCCATGCAGAGAAAATGAAAGGAGTTCATCTAACGCGTTTCAGTTAAACAGATGATTCATTTTCTAGAGAATGAAAATTTTTATCCTTATTTAAGTATCTACATTCTATCCTCTGAATGAAGGTTTTGCATTCTTT